CTCCGCTTTATGTTACGGAGTAACGTATTGTGCTATGATACATACGCCTGTTTAGCTCCGTTGTCATCAAAGATAACAGAGCGGGGCTGTTCATATAGGTGATTGTCTGTCGTCGTCCGTCCGTCGTCTGTCAACAATTGCATTGTCGACTTCTGCTTGAATACTACCAACTCAATTGCTTTGATACTTCGTATGTAGGTACCTTGGGTGGACCTCTGTCAGATTTGTTCATTTCGTGACGATATCTTCAATTCTCTATTTTTGGCAAATATTGTTGTCATTTTTGGTTTTAAAAAATGTTATTTTCGACTTCTACTTGAAAACTACCAGCTTAATTGCTTTGATACTAGGTATATGTTGGTACCTTGAATTTTTGTTAAACTCTACCAACCCGATTGCTTTTATATTTGAGGTGTACATTATCTTTGTGAATAATTTATTCTTGACAGCGGAGATATTTCGACCGTCAGATCGCTTCTTGCGTTGATTGTGAGAGCCCCATTTTGAATATACATTAATGAAAGTGTCTGTTGTGTGACGCGTTTGTTCAATTCACGCAACTTAGGTCAAATCTTAGTCACCTGTCGTTCACAATGACGCTTCATTGAACGACGTTACCGCTGACACACACACTAACTTCGTGTAGCAATAGGTTCCGTTGACTTTGCAATAACCTGCTGACAATTATATGTTATCATGCTGCTTTTACAGCTTTCAACAGTTATTTCGCTATTGTTCAGATTTATATATTTAGATCATCTTTACTGTATTAACCTTGTTGTCCAGTCTAGTAATTTAGTGTTCGGTTGTGCGTGTTTTCTAAAGTACATGCCGGCTAGCGTTTTGCTATAATTGCGTCGCCATTTTGGGGGGCCAGCTGTTGGGTTTTTCCTCAGACTAGTTTTATCATATCGCATTGCCAGGCAGTGTAAATAGGGTTTTAGCAGTTTTCTCTTTTGTAATTTTAAAAAAACTCATGTGCACTATTCCTAATTGCAGTGGAAAAAGTGGTATGTGGTCAGAGTCAGGGTGCACAGTGGACGAAGAGAACTCCAGTAATACTTACCTTACATGTATCTGTACACATCTGACAAACTTTGCAGTGTTGATGCAAGTAACGGAATTCGAGGTAGGCATTTGATAAATAAATGAGTTTTATTGCGCGTGATATTCTGTCTGATTGCGTCAGCCTCGTTCTAGTTGTATTGTGACGCACACCGTGACGGTCACCGACTCTTGCATACAAACACACATAAGTAAAATAAATGCAACTCTTTCAAGAATTCTCAATGTTAAATATTTACTTGCCATTCAGTGGTGTAATAGATCGATAAATTGAAGACGATTTTAGTGATTATTATTTCAAAATTGGCTACGAACGAGACAGCGGATGGTATGACGTGCTCAGACAAAACATACCACGTGACACTCAAACCCGTCGTTTTCAAATGAATTGGTTAACTCACAGTCCCTCTGATAGAGGGACTG